ACTCGATCCTCCAGCTTCCAAGTCTTAAACTGTGGTAGATGTAACACCTTCAAACTTACCATTTCTTTTCATAGAAAAAAATCTATTTAAGTCATAAAAATGTATCCAACATGACCCTTTTCATCCATGCAACAGCAATAGCAGTGAGATTGCAGTATGTATTATGTTAGCAGCTATTTTTGAAGCACTATTGCAAGACCATTCCCACATAGTATAAATAAGAATTACAAAGGGGAACTAAATTTTAAGCATGATCCATCTTACTGATAACCGAAATTAAGTTTTGGTGGTACTAGGATTCCTACTGCCAAATTAATAATTTAGCATAAGTACTTTAGCAGAATAAGGATCTGGAGTTAAAGCTCTAACTGGAGATCCGAGCTCAGTTATTGGTTAGATCAGATGCTCTCTGTATGGCCAAAATCATCTAGAGACAAAGGAACATCTATAAATTAAAGATCATATTTTGTCTCTGCACCATATTAAAACCTCAAATTCCATCTGTTTCTCCAACTCCTACACATATCCATTTGCTCTGTTCCTTCTACTCTAGTTACACTGTTTTGTTTGGATAAGGCTTTGGAAAACTGCAGCCTCAATTTAGAGCTCCTGATTCAGTGGGATACAAGCTTTTTTTGGCAACTTGCTTACTACAAGCATTCTACTACCATCATCATTACTATTAACAAGAGAAAGAATATGTACGATGTCCATCAGCATAAACATGTTTGTGTTTTCAGAAATATTCACTGTTGAAGGAATTGACTGAATAAATTTCCAAGCAAGGGGAGGTATGGCGAGGCACTATCATAGTATTATGATTCCAAGACTCTAAGTCTGAACAGAAAAAAAAAGGACTCCTCAGAGTCACCTAACACAGGTCCTATTTGAGGATTTTAGTGGTGGTTTAGGTTTGAATTTCTTTACTCCTTTGGGATACAGATTACATGAAGTTTCATTTTCTCTGATCAAAAGTTCCTCCCGTGTAAAATGAGAAGAACTAGGCGCTCTAGCAGTTCTCCTATACCTCTCTACAATGGCCAGAAAAAAAAATGAAAGATAAAATATCTTACAGTTCTTCAGAACAGACCACTGTGCACTGTCATTTGCTACAGCATGAAAAGCCAAGGACTTCCAAGTCACATACCCGCATACCACACTGGTGAACCCTGAGGTATCTCCAACAAGGCTTCGTGGTGGAAGCACCGTAACCTTCACGGCACGGCGGCTAACCAAAAAAGCCTTGGTTTTCAGTGAACCAATGCACTGTCCATGGCTATGTTCCAACTTTGAGAGCTGTCTAGGGCCCCTTTGGGAATCTCCATAGAAGATTCAAGTGTACAAAGCACACAGACTGTAACTGCAGCTGGGCCAGTACGATTCCACTACTGAGTCCATGGGGAGAGGCACCAAGCTGTGAAATTGTTATGATCTTTTACATGTCCTCACTCTGGGCTTTCACCTCATTGCTCAGCCTAAGCAAAACAGATTTTCTCTAGAACATGGGAAGGCATTTTTCCTTCCTTAAGTCTGCCTATCTAAAGTGTAGCTTTTCAACTCCACTCTCTCTGGCACTTCAGTAGCTCACAAAAAGTTGTGTCAACTATTTTATCATAGAAGCATATGCTCCTTTCTCTTACACTAATCATTCTTTCCACCACCACCACCGCAGGTTAAAAAAAAAAAAAAAAAGCTTATTTGAATTTTTCCAAAAACATGAAGACTACACCTTTCCCAAAATAATTCTGGAATAACTAGAAGCTGTGGTCATAATCAAAGCTGCAAACTCATAGTTGAGCATTTTCACAGCTTAAGCTGCTGAAAGCAAGTTCTTTGAATGTGTGTGACAGGCATGCAAGCATTCTGTATTTAATTTCTTCTAATTACCACTTCTGCAAGACTATAGTTCTTTCAGAAGGGCTCTGATTAAACATTAATAGGCGGTGAGCAGAAAAAAAAGTCCTTCTGTAATCTGGAAGTGACAACAAAAGCCTGTAAACAAGATGAACGCGGGAGCGACTGCATGGGTCACACCTTGCAGGGCTTCACATTCTCCCTTGCGGAGACAAGAGCTAATTAAAACTTGTGGCTAGTGAAAGACAGAAAAAAAATAATTCAGACAAACAGCTTTAATATATAGGGATATTTTACATGGAGACATATCACTTCCAGGCTTTCAATTCTAGAATTACAAGTGTATTTTAACCCACCTTGTGATTATCCATTGATATAACTTGTGATTTGCTTTATGTATGCTAGGACTTTCAGTTTTTGAAAGGAAGCTTTACTCACATTATTCATAGACCAAAGCTTTCCTCAGCCTGCATGTCACTGTGGTATGTTTTAAGTATACCTGGTAGCATTATACGTTATTATGTTTGCCCAACACGTCTCATTTTAAGACTTTTTAGCAGTCCTTAAGTTTACTTCCCTGTTAGAACTAGCATTTTCCAAAAGGGGGCAGGAGGAGAGAAGAGTGACGGGACCAATCCCTTGGATTTTTGTTATCTGTTCTATAGTACTTCATTTTCTAGAAATATCAGGCAAAATGGTTCAGACGTTAGCTCACTGTTTTGCTCAAGTTAGAAAACCTCTGTAAATCATTTTGAAATGCCCTATTGCCCCTGTACTCTGGACGAAGAAGTTGACATCTGTAATGATTTTCCAGAGACATACATCTTGCTACTTGGTGAATGCTTCCCAAAGCTAGCAAATTTATAGCCTGTAAAACAAGTGCAGGTCACTGCAGAGATTTGTCAGCTAAATCCCCAGGATCTCAAGCACAAGTGTATTCCAGCCTAGTGAGCATCACACATCCTCAGCAGCCAAAACCCAGCTTGCTGCCTTCTCTAGGGCCATCTCTGTCCTTCCTGTATCTAGGCAGGTGGAGAAAGAGAGCTGGAATGGCCCATGGAGAAAGGAAATAAGAAACTGAAAGAGGAGAAGAAAAATATCTGCTGAAGGGAAGAGGTGCAGTAGGGCTGCTGGCCCCACACACTTGGACAGCAGCATTTGGAAATGCTGAAGCAGAATAAAGAGCAGAATAAAGAGAATAAAGAGAGGGAGGGGGGTCTGAGGTGGGAGCAGATTTAGGACAGAAATCGCAAAGGAGGGACAGGAAGGCTAAAAGGGTGAAAGGCAGACGGGCTAGGCAGCAAAGATGGGAACTGAGATAGTAACGTAGAGTAGGTCTCAATGAGGTGAAAGACAGTCCACTCAGGGCAGCAGAAATGCAAAGTCCACTGGTGGATCAGTGGTATGATTTTGAATGAGGAGATGGTGGGGGGGGGAAAAAAAAGGCATGGCAAGCCTAGTCCATCACAACACGGACACTTCATTCCTTTAGTGAAAACTCCTCAGCAAAACTTTATGGTTTGCCCAATCCACAAGCCCTATCATCCTCTGTTGTCAGATTTGCGTGAGACCAACAAAAGTTCCCATCGGCTTTCTGTGTTAGGATAGCCTTCCCAAAAAGCTGCAGTCATAGATGTTGCTGGATCTGTGCATAGATCTGTGTTGCTGGAAACCTAAGCTAGAATCCCACATGTGTATCAATCTGATGCTTTGTGCTAGAATGTAAAAGATTTTCTTTAAGCTTGCTTAGGTTTATCCAAGATTAAAAACTAAATTATCTGTCTTAAAATATGTTGCAACACTAAACACTCAAATATTACGACAGGCCAAAACTAAAATCAATCTCTGTGACCTTCATTTATGTCCCTCATGTATGCATTGATACAGTCTTTCCCTAGGCAGGCTGGTGATGATATCACCTGAGACCTCTACAATGCAAACACGGACATCTGAGCTAGCAAGCTGGGCTCTTCCTTGGTCAGTAAGGAGACTGGGACATGAGCTATGTGCATGTCTGGGTGTCAGAGAAAACTGCGGTGTCAAGTTTGAGAGTATTAAGACCTGATTTTTTCAGCATGTTTTTCATAATACACTGAATAGCTTTGAAGCACAGCTACTGTTCACTTCACTAATCATTTGGAGAGATTATGACTGCTGAAAACCAAATCTCAGGGCTTCCATGTTCGGCTCCCCAGCACAGTGTTCAGCTGCTTTCACAACAACAGACAAGTTAATATTTTTTCAGACAATCTACAACCACTTTCACTAGAATAGATGCAACTTTTTCAAGTTTATACCCTTTCTATCAAATGAAAAACCTTTGGATGGCTCTGATCAGTGTCAATGAGTCTTTCCTTGGGATGCTTTTTTTTTTTTTCAGTTTTTTTCTTTTTAGGTAGGGATAGACTGAATTTGTAACTTGTGTTTAGGATAGTTGTCTAGATAAGCAATATATTTAGTACTTGAATCTGGATCTTTAATAGCTTTTCACTATTCACCAAGACAGAATAAAAAAAAAAAAAACATGATTTTCCAGAAATATTTATAAAATGCAAAAATATAGCTTTCTCTCCATCCAGATGAGGGTGGGCTTTTTTTAGTTTTTTATTTGTTATTATGATTATTTTTAATTCCATGGTCTATTGTTTGCTGAAAAAATAACTTCAGTTCTTGCTCTAATAGCAAAACTTCCTTTCCTTATCTAACCCCCCATCATCCCAGAGATCCACTGTTTCACAAGAGGAGGCATGAGAAAGAGAGCAGAATTTTCCATCAACTTGAATGACTTCTTCCTGGATACCATATTTGACAAACATATAATAAAAGAGCTTGCTTCAGGTGGGGTGTTGTAATAACGGTATACCTTATGCCTGAAACTGTAAAGCTGATTAAATATTAGCAATGAGCAAGTGCTGCAAAATTAAAGAGTGAATTAATGGATGCTTGTTGCTCATTTCTCTCTTGGTAAACATTATAGAAAATAAACACTACCAAGTTTAATTCCCCAGAACGTATTACTGTGCTCAGATGAAATAACTGTAACGTCTAGATGATATACACCATTCATTTCTCTCTTCTGGTTATTGTGTACACCATTCATTTCTCCCTTCTAGTTACTACAGCCTAAGAAATGTCTTCTAACTCACCGCAGCGAGCCGGTCCACTCCACTTGCTGTTCGTGCCAACGTTACAAGGTCTTCTTGCATCTTATCCACCCATGACTTTATCCTGAAGAAACCAAAAAGAGGGAGAAAGTTGTCCAATCAGATCAATGGCAAATATCTGTGAAGATCTCAAACACAAATAAAGGCTGACAGGTTAACTTCTGTGTGGTACATTGATCCTGAAGTACCCTGGTACGGCTTGGAGTCTGCTTTAGACATGCTCTCTACCTTCCTTCACTCTTTCACAAGCTCTTATCTTCTCAAAATCCGAACACAACTAAGTTGCATGTAATCATTCAGCATGAGAAAAAGGCAAAAAGTCAGACTATGCTGACATAAGTAAAAAAAAAAAAATCTACAAGAATGGTCTTTGGTTGATTAAAAAAAAAAATCATGGAATGGGCCAAAATACTCAAGCTACATCTTAACAGCGTTCTCTTTCCCCAACTTAAATCTAAGGCATTTTTTTTCTCCTTTCTTTCTCATCAGCTAAAGTCTGCCTGGCGGTGGGTCTCCAGACATCATTCCTACCATAGGACAGATCAGACTAGCCATCCCTTATTGGAAGTCACCAAGGTCCTAGCATTATATAGCCATTATATAGCCTCTATCAGGTCTTAAAGATAGATTTTCTCACACAATTTTCTGTAAAGGACACCATACCAAGCTGGCTGTAAAATCAGGCCTGCCATCAGTTCTATTACCAGCTGTATCAGAGGTCCCTATGTCACTCCTATGTGATTGTGCTGGCTTGCAGCCCATCCAAGGAGCCTGCAGGACAGGCAGCAGTGAGCATAGGTGGCATGGGTTGTTCTGGCAGCATCTGCTCCTGGTTTTCCCTGGGCAACAGGCGGTGATACACTGCTGTGTGCCCTGGATTCCCTATGCCCAGGAAAAAAAAAAGGCAGATCCTTTGGAAAAGTGTTGGGTCCAAGGGCTTATATGTTCATATGTCCCAATGTGTAGGAGGAAAGGAACCATGGTGCAAGCTCATCCTAGCGAGGTACGTGTTTATTCGAGCAACAAGGCAAGGTCACAGCTTGCCTAGCCACACCGCTCGTTCTCCGCTCGTCCACCATGGTATCCCTGTCATTGCCACGGCTCTGCTGTGAAATCTGTAACTGATACAGAAACACACCCACACACCTACATAACCAGGCATCCTAAGAATATCCTGTCTTCAATTTGACACTGTGGAACTGATTACTTTCATGAACATGTGGAAAACGGGTAAAAGGAAGACTCTCTATTTTTGCAATAGCAAGGAAAATTTGGAAGAATAAGAAAGAATTCAGAGGCTGGATTTAATTCTGCCCACAGTCATCAGTGTGTTTTATGTTAAACCATAATCTGCATCTTAAAAGGGCACAGCCTCTATTATGGAGTTGCTACTTTGCCACTTATTTTTAAAGGATCCTTCCTCACATTTCAGAGGAACAGGATTAGTTATCCAAATGATCAAGGAGATTAAAGGCTGTTTTTTTTCTGCCAGAAGGACTTTCTGGCAACCCAAACTGCTAAACTTACCCTGACAGAAAATTAACAAGTTTTACATAGGTGCCACATTTAAGACAAGTCTCTTCTCAGTGTATTTTAGGTCGCTGCCCAGTCTGTAAGTTGTACCACAACTCCATGCTCCAGCTTGCAGGAACACTCACCACCGCAGTCGCACCTGCAGCAATGTCCTGTTCCCTCTGTGCAACCAAAGGGATGTTTCCCCACAAGGAGACATCATTTCCCTGATGTTTTTGATTTGGAAGGTAGCACTCATACAGTATAATGCCCACTATGTAAAAATTAGGATTCTAAAACCTTGTGAGAGTACGGAGTGACCCACTCTGCTTCCCAAATCAATTGTGCAAGATGAGACCTTCTCACTCAGGTTCTTATTTACATTAACTTATCTGTTTGTTTGCAGTTTTTTTTTTTTATATATTTAAACTTAGACCTACTTAAAAATATATTAAATCTTTCCTATAAGACTTTTAGCAGACTCTTTGAAAATCAATATATTTAAATAAAGTATGTATCAAGTTTTACTATCATCCACAACAAGCTGAAAATTCAGCAAGCATTTTTTTCCCTCAATACACACCTCGTTATTTGGAAAATATGACTGTAAATTATTTTTCAAGGTTCTGTTATAAATCTTCTTTTCCTCTGAATAGCTATATCATATATTTGACATATTACACTCCACCAATCCAGACAGCATAGTGAAATTTTGTAAAAGTCCTCTCTAAGAACATGAAATGCTGCAGACCAGGTACTTACCAAAAAAGAAAAAAAAAAAAAAGTGATATAGTGTTAGTATAAATCAGATGATGGATTAGATTATGTCGAGCTGCAAATCCTATACACAGCGACATCATGAAGCAAAGTGGTCATATTGAAGGAATCTCCAACCTCCCACATACCATATATTCCACTGGCCAGTTTTACCGCCTTCTATAGCCATAACAGACCGTGGCAACGGGCACGACGACTGCAGTGGTGCAAGCTGCAGCCAGTGTCACACTCAGATGCAGCACAGCTGCCCTGCGGGACCCTTCCCTGGGGTGTTCTGCAGCGCGGGATTTGTACACCAGCATTTGGGCTGAAGCCTCTGCCAGCCTTTCTCCTCCCGCACACACACCTCAGGAGCACCACCCGCCCCTGCAGAAAGGCAGCAACACCTGAAGCTTTTCTGAAGACTGTGTCTTCCCGAGATAAGGCAAATTCCCAAGCGGAAGTAGCCCATGCTGACAGGAAGGCAGGCAGCTTCTAAGGCCAGACCAAGCCACCAGAGGTTACAATTTCCCTGGCCTTCAAACTCATCCTCCTACTCGTGTAAATGTAGCAATGCCTGATGCATGTTCTACAGCTTTATAGTTGTTTTCTCCCCAACCATCTTGTTAAAATCCAACCAAAAGAAAAATGGACAAAGACCACCTCTTCCCAGGGAGAATTCTAGTGTATAAAATACTCACCTGATTCTCTGCGAAGAATAAAGAAACAAAATTGTGCAAGTTCTGATGAAAATGTGCTATTGGGAATTTAAAAAATGCCTCGTGGGACAGGCCCTTCAGCAGGGTGGTACCGTAGCAGCTGTTAGGAATTCAGTCTGCTCATAGCTGACTAGTAACAACAAATGCTAACAAACTAGTAGCAGTAAATGCTACAGTAGTAACAGTCGTTTCATGGGAAACTACATGAGTGAGTATTGGAAGGGGAAGGGATTGAGAAAGCATCTGCATGGCCCTGTTACCATCTGCCATTTTTGTACATTTTCTGTTTTTCTACATGAAAGAATGCACTATACAAAAGCAGAAAGAGTAAAACCCATTACACCCAAGTGCTTTTCAAAGCATAAAATAAATTATTGAACACAATATTGTTTGTTTTTTTTATTATCTACTTCAGTTATAAAAATTCTGGGTGTTATTTCTAAAAACAGTCGATAGAAGAAATCAGGGAGGATTGATTTTTAAATTGACTTTTTCCATTTTCCATTGCTTTGTTTATTACTGGATGTTCTCTTCTCTGTCCTTTTTCTTATTTATTTTATTTCTCTTAAGGCAGCAATAGTTTGCTCTTCAGCCAAAATTGAGAACAAGAAGAACATGGCATAGCGAGGACCTTGTCTATAAAGGTTAGGCACCCAGGCTGTTTTGTTGCTTGTTTTTTAAATAGGCTGTTGCTACAGTCCTGGAAAACAGCATCCCTAGAGGAGACTCATTTCATCCTAAAAAAAATGAGATGAACTGCCCACCTCTCTACATTGCTTTACTGGAGATCTAAACAGTGATTCCTAGATCAGAATCCCCGATATAGTTAGGCTAGATGCTTCACTCTGGGTAGATTAAGTTAGATTATATCAATTTAGATAAAATTGCGAGGTGTACTTTAATTCGAATTCCCTAGCTGCAACTTCAATGTGAGTAATCAAGCTCCTTCCAATACCAATTGCATATTAAAATCTTAAAGATCTTTAAAAGATTATTTTTGTGCATATTCTCGCATATTCATCTAAAGCTATTGGATTTTCTATGGGAGAAACCATCTTTCTCTTATCTGTTCGTGCAATAAGGTCCAACAGAAAGTTGAGTAATTTAGGCAGTGTGTTTTTTCTTTTCTTTTTTTTTTTCTCTAGACTACTATTAAAAGTACAAATGATGAAATGGCATTCTAAAACTCTGTGGAAGCCGACTATAATTACTGTCTCCTGCCCACAAGAATTTAAGTAATATCGCCAGCACTATTCATAAGCTCCAATGTCCATGTTTCTGCATGTCACTTCTCCAGGCTTTCCAGACACGCATGTTTTTCTTAGTAACGGATATTTCGGATATTTCAAGCTCCTCCTGGACTATGTATCTGAGCAGGACAAAGTCAGAGCCCAAAGCTTTCTTGGGAAAATGTAGCAGCACATGGAGGGCCTCCTAAACCTGAGATTTCCTTTTTCTTTTCTTTTTTATAAAG